ATAGAGCAGGTTTCCTGCAATAAATGAGCTCCCAGGAAGGGCGTGAAGGAGATGTGCTCTATCCCAGGCTTTTTGTCTCAGCACTCCTAAGCACAGAGCAGCACAAGAGAGGTCAGGAAACAGAATGACGACAGAGGAGCAGAAAAAAGCATTGAGCATCTGTTCAAGGAAAAAGAGCAGAAAAGAGATAAAGGTGAAGTATAGCTCAATCAAGCTTCAGCTGATTGTCCAAAAAGACACCTCCTGTGGACAAAATGGCACCTGAGGCAGATTGTTGGTAGGAGGAAAGTGAGAAGCTAGAAACCAGGGTTAAGAGATGGTTACTATAACTAAACTGAAAGGCAGTGAAGGGCATGGCAAACATTTTACCCGTAAACTCGGAAAGGCTGCAACTATATTGGCCCAGATTCCAGGTTTCCTTCCATATAAAGGGGCCCCTACTTTTCATAGGGCAGACGTAAATAAAAGCAAAAGCTCTTTACATATTGCTACACATACTGCTTTTCTCCAGTGGAGCCCTTAAACACAGCCTTTTGAGTGCAGGCCCATCGGCCCCTGCACAAAGCTGGCTCCTAATTTAGGGAAACTCTTGGTAGGGGAACAAGGCACTGGCTCTTGTATTTCCACCATGTACTTGGGTAAAAGGAGTCCATCTGGCCTTCTGCCTACTCCTCTGAATGGGAAGGCATTTTACTGTAGCAGGACCAACACGCAGTGAGCTCTGCTCTGTATCTCTCAGCAACAAAAGCAAAAGATGATTGCGACCCTCTGAGATTTCAGATTTTGCAGTCACCCAAATGCAAAAGGCGCTTGAAACCCTGAGCCATAAAAAAAAAAAAAAGAAAAAAAAAACTTCTATCCATCCCAGGCCTTTGTTGCATGTAGCTTCTCATTTTAGGGCAGTAGCCTGCAAAATACATCTCCATTCCAACTTTTCTTCTAAGAGAAGTCTCTTGATGTATAGATTCTTTGTTCTCTATTTCCACTCACATCTGCCTGTGTCATGACTTCTTTTCCTCTTTAAATTTTCTCTCTTCTTTAGGCTTTCAAGCTCTTTTCTCCTTTACTCTTTTTTATCTAACCTCCACCCCCACCTTCTCCCACATACCTAATGTCTCAAATTCTCAGTTTGAAAGACAGAACTCAGGTCTTTCCAAATCCTCACGTATACAAAAATTTGTAAAAACTCATTCCTTGATCTTGGGTGCCTTTCTGTGTTACCAATTCACCTTCTAAAAGACTCTATGACGTATACAAATTGTTACTATGGTAGATACTAGCGTATTTTGGTGGAATGTCTAAAGCAAAGCAAAAGCTGATTGTCAACAAACATGTGAAAAAATATAGAATTATCTTTAACTACCAGATTTTTTTAGACCAGTAAGTACTCTATTGTCCATACATTCTTTCCATTCAACATAAAAAGGAACTCTCTTCAAACTCCTACATCATATATCCTGAACGCAAAGATGGGAAATCAGCTTTGTTCACAGCTGTTGAGTTTCAGTGATTTTTAAGAATTTGGCTTTCACACCAAGGAAAGATATCCCCTTATAGTACAGTGAACACTACTAAATATCTTAAAGGACGTGGTTTCCACTGCTTCTTTTCTTAAACTGGGTGGCCATCTTTCATCTTCACATCATGGGTTAGTCTCTTTTGGAGAAGCTCATGGAGGGATTTATGGAAGATGTATGCAAGTAAGTGCAGACCATTAGTATATACAGCAATAATAGCGTAGAATAAAAACAGCTATACTATTATCAAACAATTTGCAGTGAAAGCTGAGGTGCACCCATTTATCATCTGTGATTTATACAGAACCGACAGACATTCAGGGATTCCTGGCTGATACAAATTTCAAACGCCTGGGGCAACTGCCACCTGATTTTCACTTAATTTCATGTCTCAACTCCCACACTAGTAAAATAAAGTCAGAATGTGACCACTAGGGCTTCTTCTGCAATTAACAGAGTCAAAGCTTAAATCAGAAAGCGGAACTCAGGAACCCCTGCCCCCCACACAAATTTTCTTTATTTTTTAATTGAAATTGTAAGCACTATCAATCTTCTGGAATGATAATTTAAGGAAGGCCCCTTCTATTGCAACTGGATTTCACTCCTTTTTCTTCCCTATATTACTTCAATCATGTGCAGAACATAACATCCCAGATAAAATTCCAGAAATGCGTTAAAAGTTTAGAAATTAGTTCATTTTGCATTAGTTCATAAATGCATGGAAAGAGCCATTTCTATATTCATCATGGATGGATACGTCCCACTAAGGTACTAAGGTGGCCTTTGGACAGGCCATGCTTCTTGAATTTAAATGCATATTGTAACTATAGCTCATGAGGTACATCAGAAGTATCTCTCCCCAAAGATACACGAAATGCGTATTTTTTTTTCTTATCTAGAGCATAACAGACTTTAGCAGCTGAACAGATTCTTTGAGTTTAATTAACTGAAAGCCCTACGGTAAAGGAGAATAACTTCCAGTTGACCCAACAGAAGTCATCTTCGTGTGCATTTGAGATAAAGCCTTGGTGTTCATGCAAATTATTATCCGAATAATAACGTTTTACGCATATGTATGATTGAATAAATGAAAACTGGGAGCAGTAAACTTCCAAACAAAGGCTCAAAGCAACTTTACTGCATAGCTATTACAGCTTGTTTTGGATATACAGATTTTCTTTAAAGAGTAAGATGCATCATTTCCTTGAAGCCTTTCTGAACACACTAGCTGGGTTTTTTGGTTTGCTTTTCTTTTGTTAGAGCTAGACAAAACTAAAAAGCATTTATTCTCAAACATCATTTTCAGAAAGTGTGTTTTAAAAACAGTGCCAACATGACAACATGAGAAAAGTTGGTCCATTTCAGGTTAAATTCGTAAGTATTTGGCATAACAGTCCTATACAAGGAGGGCTAGTGTGACTGGGCAAAGGTACATGAGGAGAGGAAAGAAGCCAGAACTTCACGCAAAACTTTCCTTTTTCCCCTCAAACCAAACAGGAACTAAAATCGAAAATTCTGAAATATGTACATAATTTCAGGCTTCTGAAAGAAGAGAATCAGCAGTGCCAGACCATGAAAGGCAGTTCTTATGCTATTTCCAGTCACTTCTAACTGAAAACATTAGAAATGTGGGGGTGGTAGCAGTAGGAGATCACAAGAGTCTCAATTCTAACATCTCAAGCTAACCATCTTAATTTTCCACATTCTTACCTCATACAAACAATGCTCAAGCATGTTTAAGCTTGTTCAAAACTTTTCTTTTTTTTACTCAGCTTGTAGATTTATTCCTTTTTCAAAAACAACAACAACAAAAAAATCCTTGCTGCAGTAATTCCGGCTTCCCCAGATCTAGATCTTAGTCCTGCAACATTATCTATGTGGATAAACGTTTAGAGTTACTCGGGTTTTATTGGAGAACGTGCCCCTTGTTTGTTAGCCCTAAGCATGATTAGGTGGTGCTCTTGACTCTGAGCAGTGTTAATAGATTATCTCGATTTTGTTTTTTAATCTGCTAAATAGATGCTTGTACGGAGGACAACCAAACATCAAAATATAAAAGTTTGCACCAGATTCTTGAACTGTTTTAAGAATTAATTTTTGCAAGTGTTTGGCCATTACCTGGATGCTCAGAAACAGCACAGACTTTGCAGATTAAATGCAGCATGGTTATTTTAAAATTCTCAAATCCATCTCTAGACTTTGTTAAATTGTTTTCACCTTCAGTGTAAAAAATCTACACCTCTTTCAGCGAGGGTGTAACTAGCATAAAGCTGTTGCCTTTTGGCTGACTTTCAGCTCCAACAGTTTTTGAATATATAAGACAGTGTCAGCAGGAGCAAATGAAAAGTAGCTCTCCTCTCCCTCCCCCCCGCCCCTCCCCAGCTCCTCATCACCGATGGGGAACTCGGTCTCCCCCTCCCGTTTCCTGGGAGGGAACGGAGCTCCTCTGCCATATAATAAGGATAAGGCTTCCTGAACAGAAAAAAAAAAAAAACTTATTCAGTTGTTTGCATTGGATTTTTTTTTTTAAAGTTGTAGCAAGAAGTCCAGGTACCTTACTCTTAAAAGTTCTTTCCAATGAAACTTTGGAAAATCATTCCTGTATGATGTAGCTAACTTCAATGCTAACTAAAAAAAGTGCATTAATTTGCAGCTCAAAATGCAAAATGAAGAATATTTACCTCTGCAAAACATACTTTAAAGACTGCATTTCAAACTAGTTGCTTTGACTACCACAACACTCTTAGAGACATCTACTTAAAAACGTCATCATCCTGCCACCGTGTGCCAACATGAGGTACTGCTTGCATAGTCTATATATTTAATACTGAAATTATGACTCAGTTTTAAAATATCGACATTTCTATTACAAGAAAATACGTTACAATATAAACATCAGTTATTAATCATTATTAATATGCTCTTGTGCTGAATGAGAATGATTAATGCATATTTATAAAAACATGATGAATGACTGTTACTATTTCTTTTATTTCAGGACCAGCGCTGTAGTATCAGGCAGTGGGGAAGCCCACAGCTAAACTGATGATATTGGTAACACTAACTATTTGAGGAAACACTAGTATGTCCAGTCTGCTTGGGCTTGCTTCCTCTGTCCTAATCTTATTAAATTCCAGACTGTACAGGAAAATCACTTATTTTGCACCTCATTACTACACCAAATCAGATGTAAGAATTAGGTATGTTGCATCAGATTATCCAGTCTCAGCAAGCTGCGTGGGGCACAATGTGCAAAATGGAGAAAAAGTAGCTTTGTGCTCTGTCCAGGCTACGGAAACTAAATCTCTTTCAAGGTCTGGGTACATGCCCCAGCTAGCTATCAGAGCACTTCCTGGGCACACACCAACCTCTCCCTCCTCCTTCCACAGGAAGATCTCCAGGCACATGTCCTCAAATTGCAGTAAGTAAGCAGAGACGCAACATTTTCATCCTTTTGCACCACTAACAGCCACAAGACTTTACCTGTTTAAAATAACAACCCTTCAACTTCTATTCCAGCCTCTAGGTTGAAACAGCAATCAAAAGTCATTCAGTGGCTTCTCTTCTGGTCCACTTCTTTATCACTGTGTTGAGTTCACATCATGCTTCTAATTCCCTTGCTGACAGATGCCAGTCTGCTGTATCAATGTGCAGCTGCAAGACAGACAATACGTTGTCAGCTGGCCAAGATGAAGGCAAAGTCACACAGCACTCATCTGTAGTCCTGAGTCACTAACTAAATCAGTTCAACCACCTAAATTAAAAAAAAAAATCGTAATGACTGCATTAGCTCAGGCGTCTCATGAAGCATTCACAATTTTCAAAAAATCTGGAACTCAGAAAGTATGATCAAAAGTAAATCAATGAAACTCCATAGGCAGATGTTACAGGTGAAGCAAAGCATTCACTAAGAAGTTATTTAAAAACTCCGAGAGGACCTGAAATATCCCTCCTTTAAACTGAGTCAGGCTATAACTGTTACCTATCCAGTTACAGTTAACATAACTCACAAAAAGGTAGTTATGCTGCCTCCAGAGCAGAGCAACTCAATATTGTCTGGGCTGACAAAATGTTTTACAGTCTGTTGCCATCCTGTCATTGCACATACTTAGCTCCTTCCAGTGGCAGCCAGCCATTGGCAAACTTTCTGTACGGGTTCTCTGTATAAAGCTACTTGTAACTATGATCCTACTAGATTATACTGCAACTTCAAAAGCCGTTCCTTTTCTTCATTTAATCTTCTACCCTATCTCCTTCTATGATGAGAAATGAGATTAAAGATGCCACTAAAGCTAGTGCCGTCAGAGGCAATCAGTGTGTCTAGCCCTCTTTCTTTCTTTGATAAATAGTGATAGATTTTGGCGTCTCTGCTCTGACAGTGAAGACCTAATTCTGCAAATCGTTACTGACGTAAATAGTCCAATTGATTGCAACGGGAGTTACTTCCACGGGTTTGCAGGACGCCCTCCCTCTGTTATGCGCGTGCTGTAGCTGTTACTCAGCCACTTGAGTAGGTGATGAAAAATGATGCAATTAGACTTTCAAGAAAAAAAAATCCAATGCATTTAGCAGGCTATTGGCTGCATGTCTCCTCTGCAAGGGGTAATAATTCAGTCTTCAAAGCATTTTACTTCAAACATCTTATCTCTTTATGTTTTACCTTAAACAAGTCTAAACTCTTGGTAAGGTTAAAAACAAAGCCTGTACTAAGGCCCATCCTTCTGGGCCTATGCTAACAGGATCTGACAGGCTATTAGCCCTCTTGTTTAATTTGTGGCATCATCGGCAGCGGACGCACCTAAATCTCCCTAATCTCGAAACAGTACCACACATAGCTAACTCACTCAGCGTTGCTTCCTGCCACAGGTTATTGCATTTACACATCGTGTGCTTTTCCCCTGCCATGCTGCTCATTCTGGAACTGAAGCTGTCATCTGTGATGAGCTTTTCCACTGCCTTACAGCACAGGAGGGTTCTCCCCTACCTCGGACCATCTTTCGATGTCATTTGAGGAATCACATTTTCTATATTCTTAATGTGTTGCAGCACAGAATAACTTGATACCATGACAAAGGAATAATAGCACCTTCAAGGCACAGAGGAGAGGAAAAAAGGCAGCCTGTCACTCATGTCCCGGTCTGCCACACAGGCCTTTGCTGCTCGTGGGGCAAGCAATGACTGGGTGAGTGACCACATCCTCTCTGCTGCAGTATATTTGTGTCCATTTTGGTAAGAAATTGGTACTAAAGCAAAAATGACTCACTGGGCTGTTACACAATCAGCAGCTGTGTTCAGAGTCACCAATATATCTGAGTCACGACTTGATTATAGTGCTGAGAACAAGGTAGGTGGTAAAGAGAGAACTCTTACAGGTTAGAAAAATAGGACCAGCAGCGATCTCAAGAGGTCGTCTAGGCTAGTCCCTTCCTTGCCCAAAGCAGGACTGGTTACACAGATAACAGTCTTCAGATCTCCGTCCACCCTAGCAGTTGTTTGTCAAGCTCATTCTCAAAAAACCCCACTAGCGATGGGAACTCTGCATCATCTCCAAAAAAATCTATTGAGTGCTTCACTGTTCTTACTTTCTGACTTCTGGCAATTCTTTTGTACTGCCTGAAAAGGATCTGTAACTTTAGGTTTATCCTATTCTCTGTTTTCTGCTTTGGTATATTTCATTTATACAGTTTCATTTATAAAACGTTTGGCACAGCCCCTTATTTTAAGGCATTTCAGGGATCCATTTCTATTCTCAGCAAGTCTCGATCAAACTCATTGAATTCAGCAGACCTGCTCTCTCAGCGCCTGTGACTGGAGACCCTTACAGCCTTAGCTCAGTCCCTGGCTACGTACTGAGCTATTCCAGTAAGATTTCTTCCAGATGCACCGGTTACAGAGAGGCTAGCTCTAAGCAGGCTCAACATGTGCCATTTTATATCAGTTGGCCTTGAGGCAATAGCCCTCACTTATTCAGCAGTATAGACCTAGCCAGATAAGGCTGTGAATATAGTCCTTGCCCTTGCTGAAACAAATTCACAAGCAAATTGTGCTGCTCCCAACACACAAGCTAGAGGCCCACTAACAGAAGGAATTACCCACGTTCTCTCAAACTTCTCATCACACAACCAAAAGAAGAAAACACAAACACACCTGGACACACCACATAAAACCTGTCCTTAAATAGATGCCAAAGAGATCCAGTCAGCAAAAGCCACTCAAACATATCTAGCTGGAGCCAATGTACCGGACCCAGCACAACCTGGTTTCAGGCCAAGACATGGCAGAAAAGCCATTCTCAACCTTCCCTGTCTCTGAGAGCATTTAGTACTGCTGACCATAGAGCATCAGTGCTTGAATGAGGTGGCAGAGGCCTCAGGAAGTATGCTAAAATAAAGCCAGTTTAGGAATGGAAGGAGCTGAAGTCCTCCTCAAAGAGGTCTGCCTAGAGAGTTGCGGGGGGAAGTCACAGCTTCATCAGTAGACCCAAACCATCCTCTGCAGTCGCACACAGTATCTATATTTCAGAAGAAATAGTGAGGCTATATGAATCCAAGCACCACTATTTGCAAACTCTCCCTCTCCTTCACCACATACAACAATGCTTTCCATCCGGTTGGTCCAGAGCTTGGAAAAGATCAACTCATAGGTGACTGACAGCTAGTTAAATACGAGGAAGATTATCTTAGCTAGTGGAGAGAAGCACAATGGGAAGTTTGCAGCTACTCAGAAAGCCCTTTTGGCTGAAGGTAACTGACTTACAATAGAAGGGACTTTTCTAAGAATATACACTCCTGAAAAGACAATGCAAAATTCTCACCCTCCCATCCATAATGTTTTCTGCCACATCCCCAAAGAAAGAACACCTCATCCTCTGCATCAGTAGATGCTGACCTGGCCTTAATAAATGCCCTTGGGTCCTGCTCTCTGAACTACTGCAGGGCACTATTATTATGGGAAATAAAACTTTCTGACTGCAAACTTAAAAAAAAAAAACAAAAACAAAAACTGGAGTTTAATTGGAGAACATTAACCCATCCCAGTAAAAACACCTGTAACCTTTACTTTTCTGCTGAAGACTACTAACGAATGGAAAAAAAATCCCACTGGCGTGATCCAAGATTGAGAAAATAGTTTGAAGGGAATTTTTGTTTCTATTTTGCTGGAAATTCTCAAATCTCTTTCAGGAAACCAGCTTTAGCTCCATAACTTCTCCCCAGCGCACAGACAGCTGCTTCAACCCCAAATGTCCAAGTCCTCCCAGTCAGCCTCGCAGGCAGGCAGCGTGGGGCATCTTTTATCAATACCAAAATGCTCTTACTACAGGAACACCAAAATAGAGCTGATGAAAAACCTTCAAATATTTGGATTTTCATCCTGAATAATAACACAGAAAAAGCACCCCTCCCCCCAAAAAACTCAGAATTTGAGCTGAAATGTTAAGCTACTATTTCACAATAGACGCAATTAGTGCTGCTCTGGAATCCATGCTAACATTTGTTGCTTTTAGGAAAATGATAGATCAAACTTTGTTGTAATTTATTTTGTACTCCAGAGGTATGCCATTTTATGAGACAATATACATCAGCTTTATTTAAATCACCTTCACAATTTCTCCTTGAAGCTAAATAAAAAAAAAGGGGGGGAGACACGGAGGGGAAAACAGCCTTAGTTCTACAGCAAATCATTAACATTTCTCATTAAATTGACCAAGGGCAAAAAAAAATTACTATGACCTTTATGTATGAAATTCTCAAACTTTTTAACACTGGCATCAGCCTCCAATTCTCTGCAGCTGACTAAACAAGTGTACCCCCATCTTCTGACCTGCTATTTAACTCTTATTTGATTCTCTACTGATTCTGTGCTATTTCTCCCCTCTCAACACTACTAAGAAATTTGAGACCTTCCTTTCTGGTATAAAATTTAAACACCCTTCTGTTGTTGCTCTCGTTGAGGCTGATGCATGCTGACTGCTACTCTTTGTTTCAGTCCTCACAGTTGTTCACATTGCTTTAGGCTGCTAAATTAGAAAACATTAATTTGGGCAGCCTGGTTAATGACAGTTTTGCTGTCTGTTAACTACAGTTTTACTCCTCTGTTTAATGGAGTTAAGGCATTTTTTTCTCATATTGGCTAACATGAAACTTTTATACCTCTAGAGGATAAGACAAGCAAATGAAAATTGCCATAGGCCAAGAGTTTCATTGAAGTTAGAATTGGAAAAGGCCTGTCAGACCGAATTAACCACTTGATATGTACTGGACTACTGGATTTCTGCCCCAGCAGTCAGCAAATCAAATACCAGGAAGCAATTTTATTGGATTGCAGATTCGGCTTCTAGCTGCTGCTCCACAATTGGGCCTCTGGGCAGTTTGAGCATCATTCCTGCACACAGCAGGTTTGCAGCCATGAGTTTAACCATCTGCCTCTTATTGCAGCTTCCACGCCGAGCAGTGACAGGGGTGAATATACCTCTCAGATGGACTCCACCAAGAGTCAAAGTTCTCCACAAATGCTGAACCTATTATTTTGGGTTAGAAGTGCAGTATTGTGAAAGCAAATTGACAGAATTAATCCCATAGCACTTCACAGTTTTTGCATTCCTCATTTTTTATTCATCATTTTGAGTACAACCCACATTTGAGACACAGCTGGTT